AAGTAAACATAATATTTTATAATTTCAGATGTTTAATATGTATTATTTTAATTATTAGATAATTTTTAGAATGATTAATTTTTTAAAATAATAATAAAAGTAACACATTTTTACGTTTAAGCTCGTAAAGTTTGAAGTTTACCTCCTTGTAGATTCTACACGTAAACCAAAAAATTTCCTCTAACTTTTAACCATACATTATCAAAAAAAATTATTATTTTAAAACATTATTTCTTCAAAATAATGGCCATCAAACTGGGGCATAAAATGATCTTAATTTGCAAATTCTCATAAGAGTAAGAATATGACGAATTTCAATTCAAGGCAAGACAGGTCGTCCGACCATTTCATGCTCAACAGCTCGCCCATTACTGGATTTTCACCCCTTTCCTGCTAGGGGGCGGGATGGGCAATCATTTACCCACCGTTTAATATATTATATATTTTTTCTTTAAAAATAATTTTTTCTTTTTAAATAATATTAAACTGGGGCGAGGCAAGATGTGTGCGACCAATACTCGTCCTTCGAACTTGAGTCGGGGCAAGGTTTCATGTTCCAAACCTGACCCACAAGCCCAAGAGACGAGGAGTTCTCACCCCCATTCGGGTCAGGCATATGTGGGTGGATTGAATTTTTTTATCACTAAATACACATTCTCCTCAATTTATTGATATTAGTTGGATTCAAATTAAATTCAATAAATAGATTAAATGCAGTTGTTTGATTGTCATCACGCGCTAAACGTTGACTTTAGCAAGTATATTCGAAGTGCGGGAATTTTTTGAACTTCAACAAAATCTCAAGTCACAATTAGTGCTTGATTTATTTGGTTAGTTGAGTTCAACCTATTCAATTAATCAAAATAAATGAACCATTTAACCGCAAGAGACCTATAGAAGAGCGACCAATAGATTCTTGAATTGTGTACACTTATTACAATATCAATGCAGAATATATCGACATTACGAAATGAATTAACTATATGTACATTATTGTTGACATTCCCCATATGCATCAAAATTTGGCCAATGATGTGAATGGTGGTGTAAAAATCAATGGTTATGATGGATACCATGTGTTGAGATGTCAAACTTAAAGTAAACAAGAATGTACACGTAGCATGATTGTTGGGAAAAATTCATAAATAAGGTGTTTACTTTACACCAATTCAAAAATCAGGTTTATAGTTTGAAAATTCAAAAATCAGGTTTTTTTTTATTTTTATTTATGAAATAATAAATTATTAAATCAATTTATTATTAAATATTTAATTCTAATATAATATAAT